CGAAAGAAGTAACAGCAGCAGCAACACCAGCAGTAACAGCAGCTGCAACAGCAGCAGCAACAGCAGCAGCAACAGCAGCAGTAAGAGCAGCAGCAATAGCAGCGGCAACAGCAGCAGTAAAGGCAGCAGCAGCAGCAGCGACAGCAGCAGCAACAGCAGCAGCAACAGCAGCAGCAACAGGTATGTTGCGAAGCATTGACGGCTCCCTTTTATGTATAGCAACGGAGCTGATTTGTTTGTATTAGTATTGATTAGGGGACTTGGTTTGTTGCTGCTGCTGGTGCAGCAGCAGCAACAGCTGTATAACAGCAGCAGCAACTGCAGCAGCAGAAGCTGGAGCAGCAGCAGCAACAGCTGCTGCTGCTGCAGCTGCTGCTGCTGCTCCGCCAAAAGAACTGCTACGCCGCGGGGCAGCGGCAAAAAACTAAACTGATACAAATATATATCTTTTTCTCTCTCATATAGTAGCAGCAACAAAAGGAAACAGAGAAAAAAAACAGAGACAGAGATAGAGAGAGAGAAAGGAGACACATGAAGGAGACAGAGAAAGGAGACAGAGACAGGGACAGAGGCATATAGAGACAGAGATAGACGGAGAGAAAGAGATAGAGACAGAGAGAGAAAGAGAGACAGAGAGAAACAGAGAGAAAAAGAGACAGAGAGAAACAGAGAGACAAAGAGACAGAGACAGAGAGAGACAGAGAAAAAGTGAGACGGAGACACCGAGGAGAGACAGAGACAGAGAGAAAGAAAGAGACAGAGAGAGACAGAGAGAGACAGAGACAGAAAACGAGAGAGAGAGAGAAAGATAGAGACAGAGAAAGACAGAAGCGGATATATGCGGAGACTAATAAAGAGAAAGAAAGAGAGAGAGACAGCAGCATAGACTGAGACAAGAGACAGAAACAGAGACAAAGAGACAGAGATAAAGAAAGAGAAAGAGACAGAGAGAGAGACAGAGAGAAAGAAACAGAGATAAAGAAAGAGAAAGAAACAGAGACAAAACAGAGAGAAAGAGACAGAGACAAGACAGAGAGAAAGAAACAGAGATAAGAGAGAGAGACAGAGACAGAGACAAAGAAAGAGAGAGACAGAGATAGGGACAAAAGAGACGGAAAGAGACAGAGACAAGACAGAGAGAAGAAAGAGATAGAGAGAGAGAGAAAGAAACAGAGACAAAACGGAGAGAAAAAGAAAGAGACAAAGGAGAGAGAGAGAGACAGGAGATGTTTGCTATCGCCACGAGGAGACAACAAACGGAGACAGAGACAAATACAGGGACACTCAAAGAAACAAT